GGGGGGGGGGGGGGGGGGGGGGGGGGGGGGGGGGGGGGGGGGGGGGGGGGGGGGGGGGGGGGGGGGGGGGGGGGGGGGGCATTGCGGGTGGCGCATGCCGGGTGGCAGGGTGGGCACTCGGCACACGGGCTGCCAAGGGCAGCGATGCTGGCGCCGCAGAAGACATCGGGCCACTGGCACGATGCGGTTTGGGCCCCGGGCGCGGAGGTGCATGCGGCACAGTCGCGCGGACAGGGCACGCGCGGCGCGGCCCGGCCATCCGCGGGGGGGACGCCGAGCGAAGGTGGCCCTCGACACATGCTTGGCATAGGTTGGGTGCATCGGCTCGCCGGGTATGTGGGGCGATGTAGGCAGCCCACCGGGCTAGGGCTAGCATGCTTGCTCCGGGCAGGGGAGCAGGCGCGCAGGGCGGTGATGTGTGGATCGCGGGCGACGCCGAGACCGGGCCCTCTTGGCAGGCACAAGACGGGCGCAGGTTGCCGCAGGCAGGGCGCGATCCGGAGCAGGGGGCGCATAGTTGGCCGGCCGGGAGATGCTGGGGCCGGTCACCGTCGAAGAGCGAGGCGCATGGCTCACCAGCAGCCGGCCGAGCGGGGCACCAGCGTGTGCCAATGCCACCGCAGGTGCCGGTGGGCGATGATGCCATCGCAGGAGGCCCGACCGGGGGAAAGGGCGCCTGGCGCGGGCGGCGCACTTGGCGGCACAAGTGCACGTTTGGCGGGCCGATGGGCAAGAAGCACAAGCGACAGCCTCTCTCCGGCTGAAGATGCCATCTGGGCGGTCGAGCAGGCGGATAGTCTCCGGGTGCTTCCTGTGGTACCGGTGCAGGTGGAACACATGTGCGGCCGGCCGGAGCACACTCCGTCGGGGGGATCCGGGCGAATGCGCCAGCCGGGCGGACGCCAATGCCGCTGGCGCCGGTCCGGAAGGAGATGCGTCTGCACCGGGCGGCTGGTGTCACCGTTGCTGTCGGAGATTGTGAGGCAGCCCGTGCGAGCAGCAGGGGGCACCCTTTGCAGGAGGTGCATGTGGCAGCAGCGATGACACCAGCGGCCCGGGCGGGAGGTGCCCGTGGGACGGCCTCGGCGGCCTGCCGGAGTGCAAGGGCAGCCAGGCGGCATGGCGGTCGTTGCATATGCGGTGCTGTATCGGGCGCGGAGGGCGAAACGCGAGCCGCAGAGGTACCGGTGGCCGGACCGGGAGCAGTGTCTTTCGGGCATGCTGCGAGGCAAGATCCCTAGGGGTGGTGGTGCCTCTCGTGACAGGAGGTGCAGTGGTTGGGGTCGGCGCGTGCGGAGCATGGGCCAGGGCACGCACGGAGCCAATGTGCTTGGTGGCGCTGGGGAGGGTGCCCCGAGGGCAGCGACCGTGGCAGGCCCGGTCATAGAGGAGAAGCCTGGTGGTCCAGCTGGAGGGTGTATCGGCGCCGGTGCAACGGCCGCGGCCAGACGCGCAGGGGGGGGGTATGCGCCGTTGCGTGGAGAAAGTGCCCAGCGCGGCTGGCAGCCTGTGTAAAGACGCCCCAGACGCCGCGAAGACAGCGGGCGGAACGGGCGATCCACGCGCGCTTGCTCCCTGGAGAGCCTGGGCGGGAGAACATGCAGTCACGGCTGGATGTGCGGCGGCCACCGGCACAGGTGGCCCCGTCGACCGCATGGGGTGCACGCCTCGCGGTCCGGGCGACAGGCGTGGCAAGTGTGGCCATGCCCTTCAGAAGCACCAGACGCACACTCGAGAGGCGATCCCGGCCTGTGTGGCGAGCACATGGCACTGGGGAGGGGCCGGTCGGGCCGAGGAAAGTGCCTGGGGCCCATGGGCTGGAGCATTGGCCAGCATCATGACCGGGGGAGGGCGCCTCGACATTGCGGGGATGCGCTGCCCTGGCAGGAGATGCAGGGGCGCAAGGGCATTCCGGGGCGGTCGAAATGCCCGAGGAGGGGGCCGTGTCGGGGGACAGAGCGGGCACACGATGCCCGACGGACGCGGCAGCCAGCCCCGGTCAAGAGCCGAGCAGGGGGTGCATGGTCGGGCGCGTGGAGGAGGGCAGGCCGGCATGGCCGGAGGCGGGGAATGGGCAGCCCAGTCGATGCGTGGGCAGATGCACTTGATGACCCGACGCCCTTTGCATTGCGCTTTCTTCCGGAGGGGCGGGGGCTGTCCACCGAAAATAGGGCGATTAAAAATAGGGGCCCAGCAAAAATATGGTGTACGTGTGTGTGCTCTTCGCTTTTTAGGGACTCGGATCCACATAATAACCAGGGCCGGCCCCCCAGGCCCACTTCGTGCACTTTCTCCTCCCCCCCCAGGTTCTTGCGATGCCCGCCTTTTTTTTTTCATCTGCCTTCCTCTCCCTAGCTCCCCCACATGTGTCTCTCCTTGAGCTACTGGGTCCCTGGCCTGCTGGGCGGACAGCGTTCCTGCGAGGGGTCAGCGTTTTGCGCCGGGTCCTCGAGTGCGGCTTGCGTGTGGGGGGCCCCCCTTGGCGCTGTCCTCCCCCCTTGCTTGTGCTGGTCCTCTTGGCATGCTCCTGCGCGCGGGCAGGTGGCTCGCTTGCGTGCGGCAGTGCGTGGACTTGCCGGCGAGGGTGCTCCTCCCCGGGCAGCTTCCGCGCTTGCCCGTGCCACCGTCCGGCGTCCTGTGCGCGGCTCGCGTGTATCCCCTCTCAGGGTGGGCATTGTGTGCCTGCGCGGGGGGAGCCTTTTGACGCATTCTCCGGGCGAAGCGCGCCGGCCCTGCTTTTTTGCTCCTGTTGATGGCTTTGGGTGTGGGATCGCGCGCTTGCCTGGAGCAGCCGCTCGTCAGTGGACCTCCGCCGGGGGCTTCTTTGTGCGGTTGCTCGCGCCTTTGTCGAGGACATGCGAATGTAGCGGCCTCTTGGCCAACCCACGGCAGGGTAGCAGTGGCCGTTGCCTCGCGGCGGGAGGGACGGGCCGCATTTCCCTCGGGCCCTCTCTGCCCATGTGCGCCATTGCCGTTGTGTCGCACAAGAGGGGGGGGGGCCCGGTCGGCCAAAGCATGCCCGACGGAGACCCTGCCCATGGTCGACCGACCATCCAGGTTGAGATCGACGGGGAGGTGCTCGCTCGATCTGCACACCAGGAAGGCCAAGAGGGCAGAATAGCCCAGCCCAAAGAGTATCGTCAGCTGCGCGTGCAGCTCCGGCCCGAGGGGCCCAGATCGCCGGAAGACCACCGCCAGGAGAGTGCCGCATTTGAAGGCGCAAGGCGGGTGTGCTCGCGTCGGCGTCCTGAATGCCGACGTGCCGCCGCCCACCTGGTGCCTGATGCCCCGGGGGCAGTGTCAAGGCACGAGATGCAGGGCGTGGAACTGCCCCGGTCGCTGGGCACAGTGAAAAAACCGAGCGTCACATATGGCACCCTCCTCCGCCGGGATGGCAACCAGCATGAACGGGCAAGGGCATGGGCCCACCCTGGCGCGACATGTCGCGCCAGGGTGTTGTGGCATCCAGCCGATGCGCTCCGGCTCCTGCGCGCGTTGAAATCTCGCCCGCCGAGAGGTGTAACGGGGGCGGGGCCAATGCGGGACCTGGCACCCGGTCGCCGCCGGGGGCGTGATGCGATGGGTTGTTCGGTTGTCTCGTCGAAGGGGGGGCCCTGGCCCTACGGTAGGCCGGCCCAGCGGGGCCGGCCAGGAAGGTCACGGCCACTCGTCCTTGACGATGTCCGGGCTGCAGGGGCGTCGCTGCCTGATGGTTGCATTACCCTATGTTCGCGATTCCCTCTTGGCGCACCTCCTCCTGGCATCGTCGACAGTAAGTATGGGGGCCGCGAGAGGGCCTGTGCACGGGGCAGGCTCGATGCGTTGCTCGGTGTAAAGACACTCGGGCGCGGAATTGGGCGTTTGACCTACAGGGACGGGGCAGCCGCCGGCTGGGGCGATCCTCGACTCGTCGGGCAGCTTCTCGGCCTACGTGCTCGCCGTGCGCTATGGCTGGCTCCCGACAGCCATGCCCGCTGCCGAAGTTGGGGCCTCTTGGAAATCGTTGCTTCTGCTTGTTCATTCGCAAAAGTGCTGCACAAGCGCCGGGGCCAACTCCATGCCTGCATCGAGTTCCTGGTGTTCCGGAACATGGCAAGCGAGAGGAGGAGACAGACGAGCACCCGGCCAGGCCATGCGGAGGGTGGCAGGAGGATGCGCGCACGCGCGCAGCCCGGGGAGGGAAGGGTTGTTGGGTGGAATGTCGAATTTGGGCGGCGTCGGACTCGGCTCAGATGGAGGGAGGATAAAACCCCGAAACACCCATCACTAGGCCGCACTCGAGAAACGCAGTCCGAGGGCCGTGTGAGGACGAAAGCATCGGGCATCGCGACGCGGTGTGCCACCTCCCCCCCAGGCGAGGACATCCACCAGGGGCCCGCGTGTGGTCCGCGGCGCTGCAGGGGCAAATGCCACACCTCGCCCTGGCGTCAGGCTGTGGTGATGTGGGGCGTTGGTGCCCGGGGACCGATGGTTTTCGTTGTCTCGCACCTGTCGGCGGCCCTGTGCCGGCCGGTGGTCTTCGGTGTCTGGTTTCCGGCACCGCGATGGAGCATGCGCCGCTGGGAGTGCGCGTCGTGCAAGGGGCCGCGGCTGTCAATCCGCCAGGCTGTCTGCCATCATACAGGCGGCGATCTGGCAGCCGGATCCCTGCGTGGATCCGACGGGGCTCTTTCTCGTGAACTCGAGAAAAGGCACGCCAACGGGGAGGTGCCCCGGAGCTGGGGTGGGCCATGCACGCGGCCATCGGTCGCACATGGCGAGGTCTATGGGTTCGGCGCGCCGGGGGTCCCTCGCTGACCGAGCTGCCCCGAGTCGGCCCGTGGTCAGCCGGCGGGCAGCCTGGCCTGGGGCATTTCTTGGCCCCCAGCATGGGTATCCTCATTTACGAACTTTACGCTTGGATCTGCTTGCTCAGGGACTTACTCGATTCGGCAAGCCTTTGCCCCTGCTTATGTCGCTGTTGTCGCCGGCATTGCTGACACAGCCTGCCGGGATGTCCTGGCGGTGGAATTTCCTCCCTCCCAACTGAGGCCCCAGCAGATCTAGGACACTGCTTGTGGGCATGTGAATGGGTCGCGCAGGATCCCGGTCGCCATTCCCCTGGAGAGCGGGAAAATGGATCGCTTTCCACCCTGCTAAAAGGACCCTTGCATCGGTGCCCGCATATGTGGTGGTCGCCCCATCCGGAATGGGGCCCTTCGTCGGACAGACAGCTGATGGGCACAATGCCACCCCTACGAATGAGACTGCCCTGATGGGTCACAGGCATGGCCGATTGCGGAGGCACAAGACACCCATTGGCTTAATTTATACATGCGAGGAGGGTGGAGCTCCAAGCGGACTCGGACGCCTCCTTGTTGGCGCCTGTCGCCCTCCATCCCCCCACTCTTGGCGCATAGGGCCCCATGAGGCCACGGTTTGCCGAGCGAGAGGCTCGCATCTCCTCGGACACGAGGCAGTCAGGTGGCGTCACACCACCTCCCATGACTGCCGCGTTCTTCCTCGAGCTGCGGGTCTCGGCGTAGTGTCGGAATGTTTGCAACCCCGGCGAGTCGATCTTGCCCGCCGGGGCTGTTCGCCTGCGAGGGGGTTGCAGAGGCGAGTAAGCGAGCGCGGTCCGGTTCTGTAACGACCGTGTGCTGTTGGGATGTTTGCTTTTTCGATGATCATCAAGCCCTGAGCAAGGGAATGTCAAGGGCCAGCTGTGAGAGCCTTGCTCGTCCGAAAACTAGTCGAGCGCTGCGATGCCAGTCGTACGCTTCGGCTCTTGGCTCGGCGAAAGAGATGGGGAGGTTTGATTTTGGCGCTTGGCGACCCTGCGATTTTCAAGGGATGTGCGTGGTACTGCGTGCCCAGCATTGGTACTCCCGGGTCAGTGTCTTTTATTTGGCCGATTGCCCGGAACATGGGCCCTGTCTCACGGCCGCCGAGCAACGCCCGACTGTCGAGACCAGCGGATGCCGTCGTCTGGCACAGGCGCGATTGCTTGCAACTGGCCGTCCCGCGAGGAGGAAGGCGCCTGTGGGGGGGGATCTTTGGCTGTCTTGCATTCATTTAAAGATGTATTTGGCTGCCTTTGCTCTTGCCCTCTTCTTGAGCATCCTGGGAGGGTAGACGCCCAGTTGGTCAAAAATGTCCTCGTGCCCCTGACGATGTGTCAAGAGAATGCGCGTCTTCGTCGAGGCTCCATCAGCCCTCGCTCTTGGCCCGGGGACCGGGATCGAGTACTGGTGTGGACGCCGGTCCTCTTTCAATCCGGACCCTCTTCCAAGGCTCGGTCACATCACCTGGGGGGGGGGGGGGCGACGGGGGTCCTTCCATGTCGTGTACAAGCACACTATCATTTGCCCCACTTGCGCCTTGGTAGGTTAGAAACGATGGTAAAGTACTGATCTACGCTCATGGGGGCGGGGTGTAAACGCGCTCGGGAAACATATTTATTATTGCATATATTGACAGTACATGGCCTTAAAAGCAAATACCAGAAAACTGGAGGGACTAAGCGAGGGGAAGGAGGGGGAGGAATGAAGGCACGAAAATGAAAGAGGCCCTAATGATGCCATAGGGAGATATTCTCTAGTTGGCGGACGAGATAGCTAACAAGAATGTCATCCGGGCCAAGGGAGCAGGTAGTCGTGGCGGCAAGAAGACGCAGGGCCTGCTGGCGACCGGACAGAGCCGAGTAAATGCCCAACCAAGAGGCAAAGACAGCCTGGGTAAAGAAGAAGGTATTCATGTGCTGAATGGCGCCCATGGCAGGATCAGGCATGTTGGAAGGCTTTTTAGCGCTGGGAGGCCGGTCGTCGATTGAAGCACGAGTAGGATGATCTCGGTCTTGGGGAAGGTGGTTGTGTGGCGAAGGTGGCAGCCAAGTCGTCAGACCAGTGGAGGTGAGGAGATTGACATTCGGACTGCTGTCCACGTAAAGGGCCTGTAAGCGCTTCAGACACCGCATAATGATGGTCTCGAGAGCCGACTTGTTGGACATGTCGGTCAAAAAGTCTTTGACAGCACTATGTGCACCTTCCTGGGACAGATTCAGGTTTTCGGGAATTCTTGGACTCTCTTGGGAGAGGGAATCTAGCATGAGTGTCAGATCCTGAAGGAATCGGAGATTGGTGTCGTCATTAACAGGCCGGAGGTCGGCCGCGGCCGTCGAGGCGAGCAACATCATTAGGGGAATGGAGCTGGTGGAATCCTTATGCGCATGGTTTTCCTGTTGGAGAAGAATGTCCACCTTTTCGAGGAGGGTGGTCACAACCAATCTGTGACTTGTCATGGAATAGGTGTGGGCGGGGGAGCTGTCACCGCCGGGGAGCAGACCATTGATCATGGCTGGAATGGAAAATCGATCGCTGATGCTCTGGAGTTGGTAGTCATGGGGTGGATGAGAGGTCTGTGTGGCCAAGATATGTGTCACATAGCGAGCCATGCGCACGGGAAGCCAAATGTTGGTGTCGCGTTGCATGGCAAATTGTGGCAGGAGGGGCAAACTGTGGCTTAACTTGAAGCGCCGGGTACTGTGGTCGGTCATGAGAGCCTGGACAGGAGGGATGCTTTGGAGGTCGGCAGACTTCCCAGCATAACCCGAACTGAAGGACAGGCGAAACAGCGTTGACTGTGTAAGGCACAGGGGGCTGGACCGGGGCGAAGGCCTTATGGCAGGTGGGGGAAGGTCCAGCGGGGGAGCCGGTAGACGGAGAAGTGGCCTGCCCGGGCGACGGGCGTGAGATGCTGGATTTTAGACCGTAGCAACTGCCACCAAACACAGCTCGGGTCATGGTGGGGGGCGGCGATGGAACCAGCCCCGCTGCCAGGAGTGATCACAGCCGGGCGTGCATGATGGGGTCTGGAACTGGGCCTGGAGGGCTGAGCGGAGGGCCGGCGTTCGGTGGCAAGAGACTGCGGTGCCCGAGCAGCTCGATTTTCTCCACCAGCCATCGCAGGGGCAGCGAGCTCCCTGCTGGGATTTGCAGGGCGCCCAGGCGGTGGTTGACGGCTGTACAGGCACCATGCACCGGTGCCCCGAGAGGGCATCGGGCGCTCGCGAGTGAGACAGGTCAACAGGCCCTCGAGGTAGGAGTGAAGCGCGGGCCACTCTGGCGGTATCGCAGCGCTGGAGAGACCCACATGGAAGAGGACTCCATCGTGGATGCACTTGATGCCATATTTCGAGATGCAAGTACCAATTGGTTGTTTGGAGGGCGCCGGTGGATGTTTACCATCGCGAAGAAGCCCAACACGAGGGACTACTGGACATGTCAGGGCCTTTGAAAAGCCCTTGAGTTGGGGGGGGGGGGGGATGATGTTTCAGGGCCAATGTCTGCTTACTCGTCCTGCCATCGAGAGCCCTGGTCTTGCCGGCGAGAAAACCTCGCAGATTGGCAGGCTCGGCAAGCTTTTTGGGCAGCACGCGGGCATCTTCCACTTTCAGATGGTTCTTGTGAGTGAGGGTGTCCCGGTTGCGTGCTACGCCGGAAGCGCCATCGGTGCAGGTTCTTGCGGACGCCAATTTAGGGAGGATGGCCATCCGGCCGTCTGGCGGCCCAGGATCGTGACCGCGAGCGAGCAGCAACCAAGCGGGCTTGGTGGCTGTTGAACTGTCAGTACCATGCTCGTGTGTGTGATAGGCGAAAAAGTATCCGGCTCAGGCAATTTGAAACACATAGCCAGGAGGCATGCCACATCCGTGGCGCGTACAGGTGGCATGTAGATGCCGGACACGTTCGAGATGGAACAGCGCCCAGGCAGGCAGCGGCAAGTGATGCTGGTGGCTCATATGCGAGATTGCCTGGCCTTGGGAGCTGCGGGAGGGATCCAGGACGAACTGTCGGCGAACGGGCGCCTCGGGCGCGAGCTGGCAATGGCCAAGCAGGAAGGAGTCCAGGTCACCGGTATCGTGGGCCGAGCAACGGCCCACGGGGTAGGAAATACACGCGAAGGGGACAAGTGCCCGGGCAGATGCACATCGAATGCGCCAGCATCAGGGGGAGCATGCCGAGCGGGGAGTATCCGTGGCGCGGCAATCGGCAACACGGGGGACATGGGCGACCGGGCCCAAGGAGCGTGGGCGTACGATACACACATGTGCGAGGGGGGGGGGGGGGAGACCAGCGGGGGAGGGTGGCAGCCGGAATGGTGCTGTGCGTCTCGCCTGCGATCCGGGGCGTATGCGGAGCCCAGCATGCCGTCGGCGCATGGCCGTGCGCCGGCGAGCATCCCAGACCTCCTTTCTTGTGTGTCGGCCGGTATCTTTCTCTATTCTGCTCCCTGGCCAATGGTCTGCATCTCATTCGGATGGGATGCGCGTAGGCGGCGGGGCTTTTCCTGGGCACACATGCGCCGGCTGTGAGCGGGTCCCTGCTTGGGGCAGTGGGATGATGGCTATGGTGCGCGCATATGGGCGAGCTCCAAGCCGGGCGAGGTGAGAAGGTGGGTCGGTTGCACTGGCTACCACTCTGCCCCGCCGAGGCACAAGACCCCGCGCGATGTGACGGACAAGCCGGCGGGGAGAAAAGGAGAACCCCCTGCAGAGGCAGGCAACTGCGCGGGTATTGGTGCGCCAGTCGCGCCCCGCACACGGACCATCTTGTCCACGGTTCTTCGGGCGCGCGACGACCGTCGGGAAGGCGCACACGTCAAGCGGCACCAGCCCGAGCGCCGGGCACACTTGGCGCGCGCGTGCACGCCGGGGGCAGGCGGGTTCTCTTCGGGGATCGCCAATGAGAGGGGCGCTTCCTCGCGCCCGGGGGAGGCTACTCCGCCGAGGGCGGGAGAAGCAAAGGCGCCGCGCTTCCGGCGGCCGTGTGCTGGTGGAGGGTGGCCCTGGCGTGATGCCGATGTGCGCCGCCTTCTGCCTCCCTGTCAGAGAACCGCACGTCTTCTGGCCCGTGGGCCCTGATCGGCCGCGGGGCCGAGCCCATGAGGCGCGCGGTGCGTCGCCGACCGTGGGAGCAGCAGGAGGCGAGTGCAAGGTCTGGGGGGCGAGCCAAGGAGGGGCAAGAGAAGGGAGGCCGCATGTGTCTGGGTGTGCGCTCTGCTCGTGCACAGGGGCGCGGCTGCCCTTCAGACGGCCCGCCCCGCTGAATTACACCTGTCTTTGTGAGTTAAGCACGTGGACGAAACACATCATGCACAGAAAATGTCTTTTGGCCGCGAGAAAGGTGAATTTATATCTCTTGATCATGCGAACCGAAATGGCCCATGAACGGACCGCTGGCTGGTGGGCTTCTTTGCGGCTCGGGTGTGAATCATTTCTCGGCGCGGGGCGCATGCACGGAGCCTCTTCTGGCGCATGGCAACCTCCCCCCTCCCCCTTTCCTCCCTTGCTCCCCCCCCCCCCATGTCTCTCTCTCTCTCTCTCTCTCTCTTCCTCTGAGCTCTCCGCGGACGGACGTGCGCGTGTCGAACCCCCTGCCAGCCAGCCAGCCAGCCGGCCTGGCCCGAGTCGCGCGACCGGCGGGGCGACTGCGTTCCGGCTGGCGGGTGGATTGCTGGGCAGGCCCGGTTTACCGGGGGGGTGGCCTGCCTACCAAAGTTCGCTGCTGGCGTATGCCCCCTCTCGGGGTCCGGTCCTCCCGTGCGGCCAGCAGGAGGCCGCCTGCACCCGGCCTCTCTCGGTTTGATCCGGAGCCGCTGGGCGCTTGGTTGCAACGCCCGGAACGTGCTGTGCCCCGTGGGTTCCCCGATTGACTCGGCGTGTGGGTCTGCCGGTTCCCCGGCTCTCTGTCCCTGGGAAGGTACACACATGCGTGTGCGGTGAAAGGGGTGCCCTTTGCGGGGGGGGGGGGGGGGGGGGGGGGGGGGCGAGAGTGGATACGGTGTCTGCGTCGTCTCTGCCGGTGGGGGGCCGACCCACGGCCGCAGGGGGAGGGCATCACGCCGACACGCGCGGGAGAAGCCCCCCTGCTGTTGGTTCCTCGGGCCGGGTGTGTTTGTCTCTTCACCGTGTCCGTCCCTGTGCGGGGTCCCCCCCTGGCACTTGGTTCCCTGGCCGCGGGGTCGCGATGTCCCCTGTGGTGCGCCGATCGGCTGTCGGGATCCGGCCAATTTCCCTGGCCCCCGGTGGCGGGGAAGATGGTCTGCGGGTTCGGGGGGTTCCCGTCCTGGCGGGCGGTGGCCACCGGTTGTCCGTTTGCCATTCACAAATACGCGGGGCACTTTGCAAAAGCTTCGCGCGGCCCGTCTCACCGCAGGGCGGGCCAACACGGCGTGGCTTTTCCCCGTGAGGGTCTCTCCTGGCCTTTCGGAAGGCGGACAGATGTTGCGGTGGTGTGTTATTGCGATCCGTCGTGGCCCCCACGTTGCCCCTCTCGACACTTCCTCCCCGGGGGCCGTTGGTGTCCGATGGCGAGCGGGGAAGGCGCATCCCGAGCCGCGCCGGCCCTGGCCCCGGGCAATTCTCCGGATAGCCGGCGGAACCCCTTCTCCCGAGTATGGTGTTGGGTGTTTCTGTGTGCGTGTGCGGGGGGCATTTTCTTTTGCATCCCCGCCGAGTTGGGGGGGGACTGCCTGTTGCGCGAGGCAGCTCTCCTGGTCGTGGGCCGGTGCGACGGCGTGCGGTGGTTTGGCGGCGCCGGGAGCATGATTGTCCTGTGGGTTTCTGCGGGAGGAAAAGCAGCAGCCAAATCCTGTCTTCTGGCAAGGGGAGGGTGCGCTGAAGTCGTGCCGGGTCTCTCTCTCTCTCTCTCTCCCTCCTCATCATGGGTGCGGTCCCCGCTCGCTCCTCCGTCCCTGGCCCTTGGGTTCGTCTTTTCGCGAGTGCCACCTTTTGGCCTGGGCCTCCCTTGGCCGGCTGGCTCGTGGTGCTTGCTTCTCTCCCAGCCTTCCTCTGTGCATGTCCTTGCGAGGCAGTGGGTCTCGGCTGTGGCCGTGCCAGGCACCTGACAAGACCGACGCCAAAACTAGTCACTCGGCCTCCTCGCCCCGAAAAAATGGAGCCAGGTGGGGTTCTCCCTCTCTTGCCCGTGGCCGAAGTTCACGCCCTCGGCGGAGGCGGGCAGGCTGGTGACACAGGCCAGCCCCTCGATCTGCCCCCGCTGGTGCTGATCCGCGTGCTGGCCATCGGACGCCCCTTCGCCGGGTTTTTCCGCTCTTTCACTGCACTCGCGCACCGGGCCATGGTATCGGCACGCCGGCACCGGTGCACGAGGACATTCCCGGAGATCCTCGTGGATGCGTGTGCCGGTCATCTTCCCCGGTCATCACTGGGGCTGGGCTTGGGGGGCAGGGGGATCG